GTCCGATCAGGCCCCACCAGGTCCGATCAGGTCCGATCAGGCCCCAGCAGGCCCCAGCAGGCAGCCTGTATGAAGAACAGCCCCATGCAAACTTGCCTGTCATCAGAACTTGGAGAAATATCGCCCCAGGAAATTAAAACAGCAGCACCTAAGTCTGTGCCTGCCTGCCTGCCCTGGCATAACTTCACACACAGGATATTTCTGTCATTTTTCACCAATCGTGAGCTGTAATTGGTTACCATAGAAACCCCCTCATTTCCACACCACCCAGCTGTTATGCAGAAAAACCAACCAGTTGCAAAGGCTGGAGAGCTTGGTTTGTTTTCCTTCCTCAAGTCCAGTTTCTTCCTTTTTAAAGTGGTGGATTTGTTCAGCCAGGGGAAGGAAGAAGACCAGGTGAGCAAGCCAAGACCGAGGCTCCACCCACCCCCAGCAGCCAGGACACAGGCCCAGCGCAGGGGCCAAGGCAGCCCCTCCCACAGGGAGGTCAGGGCCGATTCCGTGACCTTTGGGGACGGTTTCTTTACAGAGGTCAGGCCCTTGGGCCTAGATGTGCAACCTGTACTTCCCTGGTCCTGAGGCTCAGGTGGGGCCCTTCCTGGGTTGAGGTTGCACCCTGGCATTAGAGGATTTGGCCACATCTGCCAGGACCATGGATGAGGTGACAAGTGACCTCTGTCGTCACCCCTCCAGCTGGCCCTGAAACCTAGCAGGACCCCAGGAATGCTCTCCCACCAGACCCTGCTCTGCACAGGGCTGGGAGCCACTCAATGCCACATGCACTTCATGACTAAGATTCTTGGACCACTCGCAACCCTCGCACCCAGGAAAGCACCCCTGTGCTGTCAGCCATCTCTCAAGGCGGCAGGGGACTTCACACATGCTCAGGAGGGGGGCTTCGCGTCTGCTGTGGTGTCAGAGGCCAGACACACCACAGTGCAGGCAGAGGTGGTGCCAGCTCCCCCAAAGCATGGGGCACCCACAGGCCCCTTCGAACATGCCTCCCGACACCCACGAGGATGGCTACAAGTAGAAAGATGAACAATTCCAAGTCCTGGGGGGGGACGTGGGGAGATGGGAACTCTTAATGTGTTCTTGGTGGAACAGAAAATGGTGCGGCTGCTACGGAGACCAGTTTGGGAGTTCCTGAGAGCCAGCGTTCCCAGCTGACCCAGCAGTTCCACTCTTGGCTACAAGCATACGTCCACGTCCACACAGAACTGTGTGTGGGAGCTCACAGCACCACCAGTCATCACACTGGGAAGTGGAAACCACCTCAGGGTCCATCAACAGATGCATGGATAGACAGAGGGCTCCATCCCCACCATGGAATGTTATTCAGCCATAAAAGCAAGTCCTGATCCTCTCAATGGGATGAAAACATGTGAAGTAAAAGAGGCGACTCACAGACGGCGACATGTCCCACGACTCCATGTACATGATGTGCCCCACATTGGTCAACCCAGATAGAAAGTAGATTAGTAGCAGGGGGCCATAGGGGGTGATTGAGAAAGGTTATCAGGTTTCTTTTAGGGATGACAAGTGTGTTCTGGAATTAACAGTGTTGATGGCTGCACAACCTCGTGAATATACTAAAACCACTGAATTGTACACTTTGAAAAGGCCAATCTTAGGGTAAGTTATATCTCAAGAAGTAGACGTGTGCAAGGGTGGTGGAGAGACCGACTTGGGGTGCGGTGCAAAGTGTCCTCATCCTGGGCCCGAGCCCCAGGCAGGTGGAGGAAGGAAAGGCGGCTGAGGCCAGAGCCGGGCTCTCTGCGCTGCTGGCGAGACTTTTCAGAGCCGTCCACGCGATCCTCGCTGGGACTCGCTGCTTCCTTGAGTGCCAGGCTGCCGGCGTCCACAGCCCGTGAAGGACAGGCCTGGATGGCAGTCCAAGCCTAGACTTTCAGGTGAAGACCTAACTCCCCCAGCCGCCACCCCGCCACCTGATGGCTTCCAAATGGGGAACTAGTGCTCCATTTCACCTTATTTTCTAGTTTGCAGCTTTCTTGCTTCTCCCCTTCTACATTTTTATTGAAATCTTCTTTTTCCCCGAGAACAGTTTAATATGATTCAGCTAACTGAGATTCAATTCGATACCTTCTGTATATTTTCTCCAAAATGAAAATCACTGTCAGGGGACACAGAGTCCTCTCTTCCACTTACGGCGGCACTTCTCCCCGAGGGGCAAGACAGCTGCACCTACTTGCCAGAGCACCAGGGTGGTGAGAATCTGGGTTGGGAGCTCACACAGGAGCCCTGGGGCTGCACGGCCCAGAGGCCATCAGCCGGCATCTCCAGGATGGGAAGGGACCTCAGCGGTGTCAGGCAGGTGACCAGTCTGTCCCAGCCCTGCCACGCACAGCCCAGCACCAGCTGACTGTGGATGAGCCCTGTCCCCAGAGCCTCTGCTCTTATGCATGTCATCAGCTGGCTTCAAGGAGAAGCCACAGTGGGAACTCTGTCCAATCGAGAAATGTGCCTGGGAGTGGGCTGTCGCTCCCGCCCTGCAAGCCCGTCTTCCATCCTTCATACGAGACGACGGGAGCAGGTGGGCCCTGAGGTCATCTCACCTGCTGAGAAGATGCATGCACCTATGATCAGTAACTGACAGGCACAGCTAGACATAATTCCAGGGCGCAGGTGGCATAAACAGAGATGCTTCTTCAGGCACATGGCTGGCTCTTGTGCCCCATTGTCTTTTGTGGGTGCCTCTCCCCCTGAAGACATGGATGTCCCTTTACCTGGGGCCCGGGGACCCGGGGAGCCCCTGCTGAGTCTCCCTGCACCCCTCAGCATGACCCCCGAGCCCAGATGCTTCCTGTCCTGCCTCCCTTCTATTAGTTTGTTTGCTTAAATGAACTTGTCATTTTAGATGGCTTTCGATTTACGGGGATGAAAACAGGATTTCCCCATGGCCCCAACATTGCCACGGTGTCCCTGTCATAGCCAGGAGGAACACTGGGTCCCACCCAGGATACCGTGTGACATTTAGTCGTCACGTCTCCTTAGGCTCCTCTTGGTCACAGTTGCTCAGACGTCCCGTTTTTGATGCACCGACAGTTTTGGGGCGAGACTGTCCTTCCACTGGGGTTGTCTGGCGTTTTCTCATGGTTAGACTGGGGTGACGGGTCTTGGGAGGACCCAGGGGTGCAGTGCCCTTCTCATCACATTGTATCAGGGGTGCCTGCTGTCGACGCGACTGATCACTGTGATGTGGCCTCGGTCACCTGGCTGAGGTCCTGTTTGCCAGGTGTCTGCACTGAATGGCTTCCCTCCTCTCTCCTTTCCACTCGCTGATCTTTGGATGCAGGTCGCTAAGCACACAGTGCACACTCTTGGGGGGCACCCACTTTTTTTTTTAACTCTTCAGAGCTCACCTGTTTGCTGGCCAGCACAGGCCGGAGGAAACAGAACGGGACGTGTCTAAGGGAGCGGCCATCCCAGAGTGGGTGGCGGACGACGGGAACCATTTTTCCGTTTTTTAATACTTATGGTCCAGTGCTTCTGAGTGTTGGCTGGCAGGAGGGAGCCTGAGTGTCCCAGCCCCTGTGGGCTCTCTCCCCAGGGACCTGGAGGGAGGCGCAACGCCATGGAGCACGCTCAGAGCTACCTTCGAGAACACGAGGCCACGATTCTGCTCTTTGCAGAGACAGGAGAGCCAGGGGCAGGGCCCTGGACGGAAGGAGCCAGCGGCAGGCCCTTCGAGGACAAAGCTCAGACCCCAAGGCTAGAACTGAGGGGACAACAGCGGCCGTGCTCAACCCCAGAGTAAAGTTCCAGCTGGGGAACTTTCGTCACCACGTCCTCCTCCTGATGAAACACGCATTCCATCAGGAGGACACATTTACTCTTAGGTGGGAAGTGGAACCCTGATGCCTGGTGTGCAAAGGGCCCCAGTACCCCTAGATTCTCCCAGATTCCATGCTGCTCCAAGTTCTCTGGCACTGCTGCCCCGGAGAGAGAGGGGTGCGGTCCCCGAGGCCAGCCGACTTCCTTCACAGAACCTCTGGCTCCAGGCACACTCAGAGGCCACTTTCATCCCATGTCCCCGGATCACCAGGCGGCCTCCCGCTGGATTTCAGGAGCAGAGACCTACCCTCCCTGACGCTGAGACATAAGGCCTCTCGGTCTCCATCCCCCAGCTCTGGCTCAGAAAGGGAACACGCTTTCACTTGGCAGTCACTGGCCCAATTCTCCTGATGAAGAGAAGGGGGTGATGAGTCACTTGCACGGCGTTCCCAGCCTGATGTCACTGGGATGTCCTGTCAGAGCCTTCTCGCCCCACCTGGTGACTGATGACAATTCTCAGCACCCCGCCCTTCCAGGAAAGGTGCCTGGGCGGCCTGCAAGGGCTTCTTCCTCAGCGGCCCCCGTGGATGTCAGGTGCACACGTCGTATTTGACTCAGAGAAGGAGCAGCATAAGAATGACTCATTTATGTGGGATAGAAACCTCCAGAATGACAAGAAGTCTCTGGCTACTGTCCTTCCCCAGAGCAAGGGGGTCCTCTTAGCAGCCACGAGAGTGATCTCACTCCTGGGTCTGAGCCTGGGAGCACTGGAGCCTGAGTGCACCAGGACAGTGCCCCACTAGGGGGCAGCCCGGCCAGCGCCCCACAGAGAAGGTGTGCTCGCTGTCACGTGGCTTCCTCCCACGGCCAGGGTCATCAGAGGGGCTGTGAGGAGAACCTGAGCGCACCCCAAATGTGTCCACCTAACCGCCCCACCGGGGTTCCCCAGCACCGCCGGGAATCACAGGGTTTCCTGGCTGGAAGGAACAGTGTCAGTCGCCTGGTCCCGCCCACTCCAAAGTGGGCTCCGAAACCACTGGGCTGGGGCCCTAGCGGGGTTCCCGGCCGTGGCCTTGGCATGATCTGTGGTCCAGCTCGAGTGAGACGCAGTGGGTGAAGCAAAGTGAAACCGGCCTCTTACTGGCCCTTTCTCCTGGGACATCCGTGGTCTCAACCCAAACCCTCATTACTCGGATGATGCCGACATGAGACCCACAGAGGAAGGGGCCTGGCTGGGGGCACAGCGAGCCGGCATCGGACCTGGACCCGAGTTTAGGACTGAGGCACTAAGGTCTGTGTGCTGAGGATCTGGGGCCCACAATGCTAGACCTGAGGGACCCAGGACGTACTAGAAGCAGCAGAGCAAACAGACGTCCTCTCTGATCTGCAACGGCAGTGACTCCACTCCCTAGACAATCCACCTAGTGGCTCTGCCTCAGGGGAGGGGTGCCTGGGGTGGGCGCCGGGCCTTGGCAGGTGCTCCTCCACGCCCCTCCCCCCTCACACAGCGGTCAGGGCCTGGCCCGTGGGTCTCAGGGAACCGCTTCACACTCTTGCAGAAGACCATGACCCAGGCATCTCGGTGACTGCCTTGCAGTGTCCACAGTGCATTTACACATCAGTGCTTCTCACTGGGGGCGATGGTGCCCCAGGGGACATCTAGCAATGTCTAGACACATTTTTGGTTACAGGGAGCTGGGGGAGGGGCTTTGCTGCTGACCTCTAGTGGGCGGAGGCCAGAGATGCTGCTGGACACCCTACTGTGCACAGGAGGGCCCCCCACAGTGACCTCTCCAGCCCTGAATGTCCACAGGGCTGAGGTGAGAAACCCTCTCTCTCACGCAGGCACGGCCTGCTCCTCCCAGGTCCTGGTGAGGTGGGAATGACCATCTTTATCCCCAAGAGGAAAGAGACTTGGAGGTGACCGACCAACATATGCTCCAGAAGCAGCACCGTGTGGAGGGGACACCGGGGGCTCAGGGCCAGCTACCTGACTTCTTGGTGCTGTGTGAGCTTGGGCAATCCGCGTAACTGCTCTGTGCCTCAATTTCCCCACTGGCAAAATGGGGTGAATGTGGGTACCCATACCACAGGGTGTCAGGGGGACTCCACGGTGACTACGTAGGCGGCTCCTAGTAAGCCCTCACAAGCATCCACGTGACCCTTCCCCTCTCCCAAGAGGCCCGTCTCCTCTCCTAGGAGCTCAGAGCAGCGCGTCTGCAGAACTGGGAGGCACGAGACGCTGCTCCCCAGGCTTCGCAGGTGCTGCTGGAAGGAGGCTGAAGGATAGCAACGCGCTGGCGTCTGGTTGCTGAGCAACGTGCCCGTGAGCATTCCGGAGGAGTGAGGCGGTGACAGGCAGTGGGTGGGTAGCCCTGGGGGTGGGAACGTTCTGTCCCTGGGAGGCGGAAGTCAGGCTTCGTGTGTCTGACGTTGGGGTGCCTAACACTGCAGCCAGCTGGGTCCCCAGCGCCTTCCTACAGCCATTGTGCAGAGGGACAGTGGGCAGGCCACCAAGGACCAGCGGCCCCACGAAGCCCTGGCCTAGCAGGTCCCCTCGGCTCAGCTACTATCCCTCTTCTATTGCATCTGTGCCCTCCCTGGGCAGTGTCCAGGGCCTGACCAGCAGCTGCCTTGCAGCTGGACACCTCCCCCAGGTCAGCCAGCTGCCTTGCCCGGTGCCCTGGGCCATAGCGTCCATGCTTCTTGTGCAGGTGGGAACAAAAGTGTGAGATGGGCCCTGAGCACGAGCTAGCCCATACCAGGGCCAAGCACTGTCTCTTCTCCACATCCCTCTGCACAAAAGAGCAGAGCTGGCAAAGCCTGGCATCCACAGGCGCTGGACTATCACCCTGCCTTCCGGCGACCTCCCCTGACCAAAGTCAGCTCAGAGCAAGGACGCTCAGAAGGGCCTGGAAAGACAAAGTCGACTCTGCAAAGCCCGGCAGAGGTTCTCAGCCCCAGCCGCACGTGACAAGCATCTGGGTGGGGGAGAGGGTGGTTACCAATGCTGAGACCCAGGCGTCACCACAGACCCACTGACCAGCATCTTTGGGGACCGGGCCCAAAACCAGCAAAGCTTCCGGAAGCTCTGCAGAGTCACCCAGGGTTGCGGGCCGAGGACCAGCACCTGTCCCTCACAGAGACCCGGGTTAATCCTACTTTATGTCCATCTGCAACAAAAGCTATCGGATGGGCTGGTGGGAAGAGAAGGGGTGCTGCCAGGTGACCCTTCAGAACAGGGGTCCTGGGCAGAGCAGCAGCACCCAGCAGCTCGGGCAGCAGGTGTGACAGCTCCTTCCAAACCTTGCTTGCCCTCCACCAGGGCTGCCAGGCCAGGAAGACGGTCCTGGGAAGCTCCTTACGCAATCATGTGAAAAGATAAGAGGCACGCTGCAGAAATGTGTATTTGTGGAAAATCGGGCCAAAGAGAAGCGAGCGTGGAGACAAAGCGTGGAGTGGGCGCTGACATGGAAAGGCACACGGATGGAGCGGCAGCGCCCGCCAGGCACGCGGCTGAGCATTTCACACACGCTGTCTCGCGCCGTTCACACGGTTACCCTCTGAGAAAAGCTGCTGTTACTCTCATCCGGCAGAAGAAAGAAAAGCACCAAAATAGTCACCGTGCTTTCCTCTGGAAAGAAGTCTCTGAACAATACAGCTGGAAGCAGGTGACGCAGCCGCAGGGAGAAGCTACGTCCAGCAAGGACACTTTCCTCCAAGGTTTCGGGTTTTGAAAACTGCCCCGCCGTCTGCCTCGCGCTGGGAAGGACGCAGGTCTCCTAGAGAACGTTCTGAGCATCTCAGACGCGGCCGCTGGTGAACAGAGCTCATTATTGGCAGTCTCGCCCCTGAAAAATGGACTCAGAAGAATAGATGTCGTCAACTTCCAAAGCACCCGTTGAAGTCCCTCCATCTTCACGGGAAGCATCTATTTTGGGTTTGCTGCTCTTGTCGTGTCGGTATTTACGCAACTCAGTACGCGAGCCAGGCACTTTTTTAAGCCAGCCAAGAAGGATGAAGGAAAATTAGTGAAGGAGTCACAGCCTCTCAGAATGACAAACAGGGCTGTTGCGGGTTTCCAGGATTGGCACCAAAGGGAGGGAGTGACGTGGTTGCAGGTGGGGAGGGCGAGGCATGGGGAAGAGAGAGCAGAGGGCCCAGGGGAACCCTGGGGTCAGGTCACAGCTCCACAGTATGGCCTGGGCAGGTCCCTTCACCTCCTCGGGCACCATCTCCTGCGGCAGTCATGTGCCCACCTAGTGCAAGGGGATGTGACTATGACGAGATGCTGGCAGAGCTCTTAGCAAATGGCCCAGCTACACTTGTTAGGCATGAAAAGGGGGTCTGGACTCTGGCCATGGGAGCTGGAAGCAGAGCAGCTGTGTGTCCAGCGACGGAGCGGGGCGGTTAGCCAAAGCAGCCCTCGGGGACCAGCTGAGGCTGGGACCCTCGCTCTCTCCAGTGGGCTCCAGCCGACCCTGCTGAGCGGCTTGTCTCTGACCTCCAGGACCCCCAGGACCAGCTCACAGGAAGAGCTGAAGTAAGAGCTTCCTTCCCAGGGGTGACTGCTCGGAGGACCCAGTGTGGCTGAAGCATCATGGCTTCATCAGAGGGTAAACTGAGGCAGCGGAAGTCAGTAGTGTGAGAGCTCAGAGTGGGCTTTATGAAGGAGGGGGAGTTACAGAAGGACGGGAGAGGTTCTGAGGCTGGCAGGACTCGTGAGGCAGCTGGGGAGGGATCCCTGCAGCCAACTGGGCATAGGGATGGGGCAGGTGACCCTGAAGGTCCTTCTGAAGGGCACATTTCAGGCAGCACAAGAAGGGAGCAGGGGGGCTCAGCCTTCCACGGTCAGAAGCAGACCTGCCCACCTAAGGGGACTTGGAGAGCCCACAGGCCCTCGGCCCCTCCAACCCCTGCCACACACAGGTCATCACTCTCAGTCCCTCACGCCTGAGTGTAAATGGGGCCTGCCCAGCAGATTCAGGACTCATCTGGTGGCCTGCACTGAGCACAGGGGTCTTGAGAATAAGCACGGGGTGGGGCAGGGGGCTGTTGGGGGCTCCTCCGTGGCCCATCCAATACCCCCACGTCCACGGGTGGGGAAAACAGGAAACAGTAACTTGGAAATAGGCTGGAACTGCAGAAGCACATGAAACCATCCAAGCAAATCCGCAATGTAGGTCAAGTTCAGTCTCATCTCCAGCTACAGAAAGTCCCCATGTTCCCAACAGAAGAGGAGTGGCAAAGAGAGGCTCTGCAGACGCCCCCTGACAGCCCACCTGCCCCCGCCCCCCGCAGTGAGGAAAGCGCCAGGCACGCGTCC